CTGGCGCGAGACTGATATATCCTGGGTTAGAATCCCACAAGGCGGGGTCGTGAATGCGCACTGTTGAAGAGTCCCACAGTAGGACGAAACGGCCGTCCAGTGCTCCCAGGTTTTCCGTGGTGGTCTAGCTTCAATTGGCTCATGATATCAACCATTTAAATTACTATAATAACTATACAACCCCTTCTGATATTAATAACATCAATTAGTTCTTTTAAATACTTTACTTAATGCTTAGTAAACTTGATTAGTTATCGGCTAGCAGTAAAACCTAAGACGTATATTTTACCTCACTTGAGACTTGTCAGTTGTGTGTTCTAGCATTGCATTGATAATGTTTACACAACCATTAGAACGCGGTACCTTTTTCTTCAAATACCTATTGCTTTAATTAAAGAGCTACTGAATTCATACGCTCACAGGCTTGTGCAACGGTAAATAGCTTGAATCTTTTCGTTGTTGCTGAGAGTCGGAGTCCATTAGTCTCTTTTGACATATGTACACCCTTAGCAAAATGCGTTAATATGCCCATCTAGTTACAAGCAATTTAATAAAGTTGGTCTTCAGGGGACAGTAATAATAATGATGACAACAACAATGAGAAAATTTAAACACAACATTTTACTCAAATTTTATATTTCTAAAAGTCGACTTTGATTGAGTAGGTTAGTCTCTCATATATGAACCATGATAAATTATTAAGCTGACGGTGTTCAAACGAAGAATGTTTATTAAAAGTTGTTTTATTGTAAATGTTACACAGATGTGAGTCTAACTATAAATTTGAAATCTTTACAGAATAGATTTTATAATTAATGAAATATATTTATTTCGAATATATATATATATATATATATATATATATATATATATATACTAAGTATAGGGTTGAGAGATTGCTGAGCCTTGCTGAAATCGTGAACCAACCAATGTTAGACCATCATTAAGAACCTGGAAGCTCTGAACGGTCGTTTCGTCATTGTATAGAATTCTTTAGCTGTGAGTACCTACGATCCTACGCGCAGGAATCTAGCCCGAGCCCTTTGGTCACGTGTGCGGACGCTTAATCTCTAGACCACTAATCTTGGATCCAACGTGTTAATATGCATATATATTTATACTCCCGAATCTCATTAATAAATATGTGATCACCCATCATTATTAGAAAAAAAAATTGGAAGTGATGTTAAAGACTTCACAAAAGTTGTTCGATTAAACTAGTATAATCATGATGCTTTTATTTGATTAGTGAAAACAATTTGCTCAGTAATAACTTCTTCACTTTAATTGTTTTCTTTGAGTAAAATGGTCACGTTTTAATAATAATACTGAGAGAACTCACGATTCATTCTGTTTAACAGTGTTTACTGTCTAATGGCTATGTAATAGTACGAAAGATTTTGCTTGCTATGAGGCTACACAGTTTCGTGTTTTATCATCACTACCTTTCTTTTCTTGTTGATCATCTAAAAAAAACTTAAGTTTTATTAATTATTCCGTTAATAGCCACTTAATTTGAACATGAAGTCTTAAAAACATTCCTTACTTTAAATTCTAATCATTTGAGAATTTTATCTATACTCAAATGAAGTCATGTTACTCAGTATTTTAGTTACCATTAAGTTACATTACATAATTTCTGAAAAAACGTGGTTTTTCATCTCTAACTTAGCAGTTGCTGACTTTCTTGATCGTTTCAGATTGTTTATTTGTTGAAATTTTATTTATGGTTCTTCAAACAATGAATGTTATCAACATGACAATAAAAATCTGATCAGATAAAGTAAAAACTCACATGATATAGATCTATTTTTGTTTACTTAAGGTTTAATTATCTTGTTTGCCTAATTTGTATTTCAAAACAATTTTTCTTACAAATCGATGTATGTCAAACAAAACATCCTAATAACATTCAATAGTGTTATTTTCTGTGATCTCATAAAAATCTAATTTTATTAAACGATCAATTTATATTCGAGCTTCAATTCATTCCAGTACTGTAAGCGTTATGTCTAATAATGTTTTGCAGCATCTATTTGTCATTCTTTAACTTCTGCTATTAACCCTTAAAACTTAACGTTTATCGTTTGTATAGTATATTATTATATCAGTAAATAGCCGTTACGCCAATAAATCTAACAGTTTTGAGTTGTGACAGAGTTTATTTGAGAATTTTAGGGATAGACAAACTGAATTTATTGAACTATCTTTAAAACCAATATTTCTACATATAATAATTTCGAATAGTACATAAAACTATGGTTTCTTTTCAATAACTATTATGTTGACGGCTGGCGTGTTGGTTAATTAAATAAATGATATAATTCATCAAACATCTCCAAAAGCTAAAAGATTCCCACTTGACGTTAATTAAGATTCGCCAGTGATGGTGAACAGTTTACATCATCAAACAAACTTAAAGTTTCGTTCATGAAATCATTTTTACAGTTTAGAAATGAAAACGCTTACTTCTAATTTTTTGGGAATCTTGTAACCAATCTTGACATAATTCAAGGTTTCATGCTTTTGAAATACTTTAAATCATGCAAAAGCAACTGTGTACATACCTCTTTTTATCTAAATCTTAAATTCGTTCTAAGTCTAGAATATGCTTCAAGTCAAAGCGTACGGCTGATGTTTAAATATGAAATGTACCTAGGCATAACGATCTCTCTGGACTAGTCTGTCTCAGACAAATGTATGTATATTATGAAGTGTCATATATGTTCAGATTACTTTGTTCAGCTGCGTCAAATATTTATGGGACTTTTATGGCACAGGTTTCTTCAAAATATGATAATTAGAAAGTGTAGTAAAGTGGCTTGGCATTAAAATGGTTTCAATGTTTGAGGTGCTGATTAGTTACTACGTTACACCACCAACGATGCCAAATAAAGTTAAACGTCTTTTTTAAATAAGCTTAAAACCTCTAGCTAAATATAAATTAAGATGTAAACAGTAAAACCTTCTATATCATCAGATGATTATTAACTTCAAAACACTTCTCTATAGTTTACTGGTAACTTCACATAGTACATGTACCAACGAGGTGACTTACACTTTTAATAAAGTAGTTCAATTCGATTAATTAGTAAAAGCACAAAGATAACATAGAAACATGGTATGAAAATTAGGCAGTGCATGTAAATATTTATACCGTTAAGTAATCTTTATCTAAGTGTGAAATTAGATGCTGATTAAAAAGGCATATATAGTGTAATTTTCCAATGTATGACTCATCTGAGTTGCTTCATTTTAAGCATTACATCTATTCATGTTATTTGTAATGGTTGAATTTTTGTCATCATGTTACTGATATTACATTACGCTAAAATATAATGTTTTAAAATATAAACTTGTTTCTTTATGAGGCAGCTTAGTTGATTAATTCATGAATTCGTTCGCTTGCAGTCCGTGTTTTGAGCCGTATCTGGACTTTTGTTTTTCAATGTCAGGACTAGCTATAAATATAATTGAAAATCGTGAATGACCAATAACTAGTTCTTAAAGCTTTGTGTTGCAAACAAGACTTGAACGTCGACATTATTAATCGATTGTCTAGACTGCAGGAACTATGATATGTAAATGAACGTATAAAGCAACAGTTAAGGGTTCAGCTAACGGATGATTGCCTTCAGCAATTTGAGATAACTTTTTCATCAAAAACCCCGATCTAAGAATAGTTTACTCAAATTTAAACAAGATTTTGTTACTAACTGTAATTAAGAAGACTCCTTTTGCTATCCTATAAAACATGCTTATTCTTATACTTTGAAAAATATTAATCTGCTTTAGCGATAAAAAGAATAACTAACACAGGATGTAATATGTGTTGATAATAGTTCCAAAATAAAACGTTATGCCACTTTTTCATGCTGTTTGCATAAAAAATTCTCAAGACTTCATATGCTACGTTTTTAAAAGAAATATCTTTTTGTACAATCATTCCGTAAAATCCTGGTTTTAATGAAAGGAAATCATTTTTCGAGATAGGATAGACAGTAACATAATGCTACTAAGTTCAACCGAGCTACAAAACTTCATGTTGAAAGATGAATACTGCAAAAACATAAATCATTTTTTACTCGTGATAAATGATGTGATCCAATTAGAATTCGATGATCGGGCATAGATATCGTGCCGATTTTACCAGTGGAATAAATTTGGGTTAAGCCTCTCCAGTTTATTGTGTTCTTTTATGCATTGGACATTTAAAAATAAGCGTTGTAAAAGAAAAAAGAAACCAAAGTATAACGAACTGAGCAAGGTACTTTAATTTTTTGTAAGTATTCATCATTCACTCAAAGCCAGATCATTTTAATCACAGTAAAAAATAACAATGAAAACGATATTTAAAATTCAGAACACCGCAAAGGAGTTTCAAAGTATATTATAGCACAATAACAAAAACAATCAATAGAAATAATTCACGTACCGAATATTTTCGATAAATAGAAATCTCGAGAGGTTACTAACGAACCAAAAGTTTCAACAATACATGGCATCTCAAACATCCTTGTTTGAAATATTTCAAGATTAATTCTATCTGTGCAAGGACCACAATCTAATTATTCACATTATCAAGTGCGATCCGTGATTAGGAATATATGTTTGTCGTTTAAACTTAAAAGAATCAATCAAAATGGATATTCTTTCTACATAAAAAATTATCTTAAATGCAAATTTTCTGGCCAATTTTGAAAACACGTATGCTACGTGTTGCACTAAAGTGACGGAACAAACCCGTTAATTTAGTTTGAGCAGAATGTGTAATATTGAATAAAGTGCATATACTAAAAATGCAACAAACCATGCGTATAAATAACGTTATATTCGTTCGAATTTTATACTAAAATATTGTTAACCCTCAAAACCACTTCACGAGAGGTTCAAAAACCGCAAAATTTTAAATAAAAGCGTATAAATGAATTTAAAATTATAACATAGACGTTGAGTAACTGTGACTCAAAATGTCTGATTTTCAAATCTAAGGAACTCACTTTCTCGTAGCGCAAAATTTCTTTCCTCTCATGCAACGATAGGTTATCACGATACAAATTTACAGCTTCGAGAGGAGAAATCCCTTCAGGATGTTCACCAGTAGGTTGAACACCGTTTCTTATAGAGGATCTATCCAGCCGTTCGAGGTTAAACGCAGATTTATTGTCGAGTTGTATAGGCATATGTAATTGTTAAAAGGTACTCAAATATTATGTAGTTAGTGAAAAACTCCGAGACACTTCATAATATTGCGCTGTGAAACAAAACACCTTAAAAAACAAATGCTTAGTTTAAACAAAATAACTATTTCTGTTGTCAACCTCAAAAAATGAAGTATTCCGTTAAAACTTTCCCGTTTACACCTTCTAAAAAATTTTTATGGCTGCAAAACGTACAGTACTCAGTTACGTAAGCTCAAAAGAACCAGATGGTGTTACGCTAATATGTGGAACGGCGAAGCTAAAATTATAAATTGCTAAACTTACACAACTAATTTGTTGTTAGTGCTGTCAAACGCAAAGTGAACAACTAGTTGTGCACATCGTGATAACTACAGGTTGCTGAAATGGGAATGGCATGCGTCTCAGTTATCTTTCCAGTGGTTAACATTTTGACTGGGAACTTTTCACGTATAGCGAAGTAATTGCCTACTAAATAAATGTTAATAAAGCAGCCCATGGAAAACAAAGCTCTTCTCACTACTACTTCCACGTTATTTTGGGTTATTAGAGCATGATGGGGAATGATTGTGCTATGATAGTAAAAAACTGAAAATGATTCTGAAAGCTGTCATTGAATTTTCAAACAAGATAGATAAACCGACCGGTTGCATTTAAAACTCATCCATGTGTGTGAAGGGCAGGTGCAGCGACAAGGTAGATACTTTAATTTTCGCATTCCTATAAAAAACGCGTGAGGAATTGCGTACATTTGAAGCTGTTATAGACGAAGTTAAGTTTCGTGATCAATTCGTAAGTTTGAACATGTGCTTAAAAATTTTTAGGTGGGCAGATTGTTCGAAATCATATGTGATTATCCTCGGAAACCAAAGCAAGCCTATTTCATGCGCTTACGCCGGAACTAGCAATCACCTATAACTTACCTGAGGAATACCCGACAATGGAGAAGACGGGAACAGTAAATTGAATAAATTGGAGTTGATCGTATGGCACGGCCCGGCCATGCAGGCGTGGTCCCTGCTAAATGTTACTTTATAACTTTTATTCATATTAAATACATTGTTCCATCTCTAGCCTAAGCTTGTTCTCCATTATGTACTGGTAATTGTCACGATGCAGTGAGTTGGTGTAGATAATGATGTAATTTTTACGTAAGATCTTATAGATTAGGCGGTTACATCATAATAAATCTGAAATCTTAGGATTAGGTCTATTATTAGAGCAGTGCTAATATCATAGTAGACCATAATTCTACAAGGCTTTTCAGTGATATCTGTAGAAAATTGTGGAGATAATGCGTTAACTCGGTGCATTTTGGATAGTTTCTCCAAATCGGGGTGATTGGGATGGTCTTCATGTTATCTGTTTACAACGTCCACTCACCCCATTATTATATTCCTTCATTTGAAACATGTCTCAGGTCATTATATATATTCCTACTATATTTCGTCATCTGCCTAAGTTCAAGCAAATTATTATTTCTTCTTTTCCACTCATACTCATACATCCATTGATATTATGCATCTATTAACAAATTGTATATATTACTTGGATGTTTTTCATCCACCTTATATGTTCGCACATGTGATAAATCTCGGAACGTCTCCGTATGACTAATTACTTAAAAGTAAACTGCTTCCGAATAACAGTAATTTTCACTTGACGTATAGCAAGAGACAAAAGTTGTATTTTATTTTATTTTACGTTGGCATGCATTAACATTCTAGACATTATTTGCAGCAAAGGTACTGAGAGTATGACCGTCAGATATCTTCGGATCTAGAGTTGGCTTGTACTAAGTTCAGTCATAAATATATCCCAGTTAGACAATACGTATTGATTCACCTACTTTTTGTCGACTAATTTTTTGCTCATGCAGGGTGAAAAATTTAAAGCAACAAGTGCGAGAAATTGGTGGTAATGCCAACCACCAACCTGGTACTCAAAAACATTCTATATCTCGATGATACCGTATGGCTTTCTACTGATCAGAATCCTAAAAGTTTCTAACAGCGCCAGACAGGAAGGAGGGACTTCTATATGTTCGGATACAGTGGCCCAAATACTTTATTCATCAAATGTGGGTCCTTTTGCGTAACCTCAAATGTGATATGAGCAGATGCAGAGTAATAAACTTCTGCTAACGAAGCTGGTATACGACGTTGCAATACCATAGGCCTTCCATATATCTGTTCCAGTGAAAGCTAGTAACTATTATTCGAATGCTTATGTGACCAAAGTAGCGTGGATGACAGTGATAAAACCCTTGTAATAGGTGAAAATTAGCGCTTAAAAGTTATACTAATTCAGCTGTAGTGGCTGTGTGAAGAATGTGACACAGAAGCATATTATGACATACAAGGCGCGAATGTGAGATTGTAGAATTATGGTCTACTATGATATTAGCACTGCTCTAATAATAGACCTAATCCTAAGATTTCAGATTTATTATGATGTAACCGCCTAATCTATAAGATCTTACGTAAAAATTACATCATTATCTACACCAACTCACTGCATCGTGACAATTACCAGTACATAATGGAGAACAAGCTTAGGCTAGAGATGGAACAATGTATTTAATATGAATAAAAGTTATAAAGTAACATTTAGCAGGGACCACGCCTGCATGGCCGGGCCGTGCCATACGATCAACTCCAATTTATTCAATTTACTGTTCCCGTCTTCTCCATTGTTGGGTATTCCTCCGCGTTAAATATTGAATATCTTTTTTCCGAGTAGTCTCGTGTTCAGCTTTGAGGATTTTGTGGTTATGATCCGATGCCACTACAAGATTAACAACATAACTTCCTGAAAAGACTTTCCCGCTGGATTTTAAGTGGCTTATTGAAATTTATGCATGCTTTATACTTCCTACAAATGTTGAATTCTCAAAACTGCTTGCCAACCAAAGCGTTCTGAACAACCTTGAAGGAGTGCTATAAGAAATAGCGATATGTTCCGTAGGTCTTAGGATAGTAACCCAAGTCGACTTACGGGGAGTTCGTCTACTGCTGATTGTTACAATTATCTGGATTCATATCTGGGAACAATAAAGATCTTTTAATTCTAAATATGGTAGCTCAGTACGGAATAACCAAGATTCATCCACTAATATTTGAACCCGTCCTAAAGATTCAAAGTGCTGATGTCTGGTTGTTGAGGGAGTTCCAAAACCCTCTTTCTTTTGAGGCCTTTGATCAATTGACATTCTGCTGTTTACGGCTTATCTATCTCTTGAAGTAGATATTTTTGATGATGTTGTAGCGTGGTGTCGAGTTGAGCTTGACTATGAACACCGCTACAAGACTACGTGCCAATAGACCAATAAGATTCCGGTAGGCCAAAAATCAGAAGACAGATGATGGCTGTAGTCGAGATGTATTTGTTGGCGATCTCGTGGTATCGAAAGAATACCGAGATCGTGCCAAAGGAGTACAAGCGTGGTTACTGAGCGTAACCGAATTCGTACAAGTTCGAAGTCAATGGGAGAGTAAGTAAGTGTAATGGCTGTCATTAGCACAGTTAAACAAACGAGCACAGTAAAACAGTCACTGGTACAATTGGTTATAATAATAATTGTTTTCATTGAACCAATCGCGTTCTGTTGACAAAAGTAGGTCACTACAGGAGCCCCCCGCTATAAAAGGTTTACACTTTCGATAGTTAGCGGTTTGATTCGTGGGACTGATCGGCAGAAGTGCGGTTTTAGGACTGAGGAAATTGACGGAACAGGAAGTGATCGTTGATCCTCGAGTTGCCAACGAAAGTCTTTTGCGCAGAACGGTACCAGGAGAAGTGTGCTGTATTTGTTGGTCGAATTAGCATACCACACCAGAGTGGTTTGTATCCAGGATCTGATGATTGCGTTCGTAGGGATGCGAACTAGAAAACGCTGCAGACGTAGGACGAAACCACGTTGAGCCAAGAAACCAGAAGCGACCATAACGGCTAAGCGTATGCCAGGCGAATTCGAGACCAGATAATCGACTGAGTGCGTTGACTAGAGCGTGGGTGGCCAAACTATCTTTCGCCAAAGTTGACTGAAGTCGACGTTATCAAACGGACGATGGTCGGAGGCGTGGGCTCAGGATACAAAAATATCAAAAAGAAGAAAAGTGTAGCATGCGTGTAGTATATGAATAATCCTACACCGTATCTGTTATTGACTGTGCGTTTAGTCGCGAAAGCGTACGGGTAATCGTACTCGGCGACCGGAACGTGAGGCGGTAGTCTCGTTTGTACTTCGTGAGCCTGCGATCTCATCCGAGGTCAAGGGCGGCGTGGTCTGCCGATCTGGACGTGAGACGAAAGTCTCGTCCGTAGATGGTGCAGCTGACGCGTGCTGTTGACCGGGACGTGAGAATGAGGTGTCTGATGTATCTAGCGTGGGATCCGAGGTAGACGTAGAGATCCCGCTAGAAGGTTTGATAGGTCTAGCATTGAGTCTCAAGTTATCGGGTAGGGCACTGTCATCGACGTGTTCTGGTTTGAGACGATCAATGCTGACGATCTCGACGCGGCCATGTTGATCAACCTTGGAGGTCTTTTCGTGACGAGAGATCACGTGAAATGGTCCTTCGTAAATCTGTTGCAAAGTTTGCGTACCGAATCTACTCGTATGAAAACATGTGAACAGGTAGATAACTCTCGAGGGAGAGCGACCTGTTGATGTTGTATTCGAGTTGACACCGAAGACAGCGTTCGCATAAATGCAGACAGTCGATGGACGTAGTCTGATTTACCGAAATCATTACTGCTCCGTGGTGTGAAGAATTCCTCAGGCAGACGCAATGTCGTGCCGTATACAAGTTCAGCGGCGGAACATTGGATATCTGCCTTCAAACTCGTTCTGATGCCTAAGAGAACGAGCGGTAAGGTTTCGTACCAGTTATCGTTTTCGTGTGCTCGTAGAGCACTTTTAAGTTGGCGATGAAAACTTTCGACTAAACCATTCGATGCTGGATGGTAAGCGGTAGTGCGTATGCGTTCCGTACCAAGCAGCCTGGTCAGTGAGGAGAATAATGCGGACTCAAATTGTTGTCCTCGGTCAGTCGTGACAGTCGAGGGACAACCGTACAATGCTATCCATCGTTCTACGAAGCGGTGAGCAACTGTCTCCGCCGTGATAGACGTGATGGGAATAGCTTCGGGCCATCTTGTAAAACGGTCAATGCACGTGAGTATGTGATCATACCCATGCGATGGTGGCAATGGTCCTACAATGTCTATATGAACGTGATCAAAGCGAGCATCAGGCGTAGCGAACGTGCCGATGGGGGCAGCTACGTGCCTGTGCACTTTTGATCGTTGACACTGTAAGCATTGCTTTACCCACATACGAACATCTTTATATATGGACGGCCAGTCGTATCGTGCAGCAATGAGACGTAGTGTGGCTGCGATACCTGGATGAGACAATCCATGAAAGGCATCGAAGACGAGACGGCGATAGGCAGGGGGTACGATGGGTCGAGGAAGACCGGTAGAAATATCACATAGGATAGTGCCTGAGCTAGTAGCTAGGGGTACTTCCTGACACTGAAGGGACGAAGATTGTGTTGCTTCTGTACAGACAGGATCGTTTGCTTGCGCGGCGGCCATAGCAGGAAGATCGAGCACCGGTGAAGTAACTGCATTCGTCTGGATACGTGATAGAGCGTCAGCAACATAGTTCGACTCGCCTTTAATGTGACGAAGGTCTGTCGTGAACTGAGAGATATAGTCCAAATGTCTGCACTCTCGTGGTGAGTAGCGGTCAGACTTGGTATGCAGGGCATACGTTAAGGGCTTATGGTCGGTGAATAAAATGAATTGGCATCCTTTTACTGCGTGCCGGAAATGTTTGATGGCACAGTAGGCTGCAAGCAGCTCGCGACCAAAAGCGCTATATCTCGTCTCCGTGGGAGTAAGGCGTCGTGAGTAAAGTTCAAGCGGTTGTCAACTACCGGAAATATTCTGTTGCATGACGGCTCCTATAGCGAAATCTGAGCCGTTTTGATCTCTGAAAATGCAGTACGTGCGGTATCGTTCATTCTAATTTGCGTGGATTACCGCGAAGTAAATCGGTTAATGGTCGTAACCGTTCTGCAGCTTGAGGGATGAAACGTCGGTAGAAGTTAACCAAACCGAGAAAAGCCTTCAGTTCCTTGAGTGAGGACGGCACGTTGTACTCCTTGATTGCTCGAACTTTGTCCTCGCAAGGCAGAATACCCTCTTGTTTGATGATGTGACCCAGAAATATTATTTCTGATTTACCCAATTCACATTTCTCTGGGTTGACTACTATTCCATTATCCGAAAGACGTTGGAATAATAGCGTAAGGTGTTGATAATGTTCATCTACGATTGTTGATGCGATCAGCAGGTCATCAATGTAGACGTGAACAAAATCCAAGTCTCGAACTATGCTATCGATAAACCTTTGGAAAGTTTGAGCACCATTTCGTAATCCAAATGGCATTCGTAGGAACTCAAACAGACCGAATGGAGTCGTGATAGCAGTTTTTTTGATGTCTTCAAGAGCGACTGGGATCTGGCGATATGCTCGTACCAGATCGATTTTAGAAAAGATAGTCGTGCCCTTGAGCGATGTCGTGATGTCGTGTATGTGGGGGATGGGGTAGCTATCAAAGCGCGTAACTACGTTTAATGCACGGTAGTCGCCGCATGGTCTCCAACTAACCCCATCCTTTTTGCGCACCATGTGTAAAGGAGAGGCCCAAGGACTGTGAGAAGGACGAATAATACCAGCAGATAGTAAATTGTCAAACTCACGTTTAGCGAAAGCTAATTTGTCCGGTGCCAGTCGGCGTGGTCTTACCATGACTGGCGGTCCGCGGGTGACTATGTGGTGTACCACACGATTGGTCACCGATGAAATCTCCTCGAGTGGTTTAGTTATTCTGGGGAATTTCTCGAATAAGGCGTGGAATTTATCGTCACGCGAAAAAAAGTGCCGAGGATTCGGTACGCGTACATCGGAGTCTATTATATTAATACTATTCTTATCGTTATCCGTCATGTCAAATATATATATTAAAAATTAATATGAAAATATATGACAGACGTGGATAGATAAAACAATAGACTCACCGAATTGCCTTCTTTAAAAGATTTGACCGAGGTTGAGGCGTGTTCCAATATTTGGTTCACCAAATGTAGCGTGGTGTCGAGTTGAGCTTGACTATGAACACCGCTACAAGACTACGTGCCAATAGACCAATAAGATTCCGGTAGGCCAAAAATCAGAAGACAGATGATGGCTGTAGTCGAGATGTATTTGTTGGCGATCTCGTGGTATCGAAAGAATACCGAGATCGTGCCAAAGGAGTACAAGCGTGGTTACTGAGCGTAACCGAATTCGTACAAGTTCGAAGTCAATGGGAGAGTAAGTAAGTGTAATGGCTGTCATTAGCACAGTTAAACAAACGAGCACAGTAAAACAGTCACTGGTACAATTGGTTATAATAATAATTGTTTTCATTGAACCAATCGCGTTCTGTTGACAAAAGTAGGTCACTACAATGTCTTTCTACGTAAGCTATGTAGTGCATAAACATCATTATTACTTGAACATATTTTTTGTATTAACGAAAATGAATTAACACTAATAAAGTCAATATTTAAAGTCAGCTATACACGAAAAACATATTAAGGCGTCATCTTTTTTATAATTTTCAAAACCCTTTACATTTATTTAATATAAAAGCGGCGCAATGATTAGGTTCAACGGTAACATGCTCTGCAGGTTGGTTTATTGTTGTTAAAATCAGGTTTGCTCCTCACCATATTCAGTTATTAGCTTATATATTCAAAACTTTAACTAAAAGAATTATAGAGTATATTTTTAAGGTAGATACTGATAAAACAGTTCAAAGCCATCAACATTATAATCCTGATCTCCTAATTTTGCGGAAAATTTGACCTACTTTGGGGAAGCTGCCACAGTAAACTTCGGGGAAATGGCAGAAAACCCCAAAAAATTTACCCAAACATTGGTCATTTCACTTTGGGAATTTTCCCGAAGTTGGGAGTTTGGGAATGTTGATTATTTCCCCATAGGGAAATACAGGCAACATTCTATTAGAAAATATTTCTTTGATTATTGTCAGATGAATATACATGTTTAATGTTGCAGTTGCAACATTAAACGCTTGCATGAAATTGCTCGACATTCTATTGTAGTACGATGTTAGTAGATCTAACGGCCTTTGCAATCATGGTTGCTGCATCATTAAGCATACTTATGCGGGAAGTTAGAAAGTTTTGGTACCAACTTATTGTCTACTCCTTGGACACGCGAAAACGTCTGCGTACTTAATTAATCATAAACTAGTCTTTTGAGTGTTACGAAGCAAATACCTGGTTGGTTCGTTCACAAATTATAGTCTCGCCGTTTTATTTGTTATAGCCGCTCAATTATCACGTTTTGTACAAACTTCCCTGTAAACCGATCGTACGTTATCATTAAGCACTGAAGTTGGCGCCGTAATCTTGAAATCTATAAGGCGCTTCTGGCTGGCTCGTCCATAAATTAGAGTCCCGCTTCTAGCGTTGTCCGTTGTCACTGAGTTTTTGACCATTTTATTTTTAATCCGATAGTCCTTATTATCTCGTATCGTATCGTCTATCTAATGTTTCCAGTCACTGCTCGTACTATAACTACACCTGCTCGGGATTTACTTTAATGGTTTCATCTTGCTGTGCTAATGAGGCGTGGCAACTTGGATCGATGTTCCCGTTCCAAGTTCTACGTTGCTTATAGCTGACTATTGCTTATATAATGGCTATCCGTGGTAGGCTATTTTGTTGTTATTCCATAGCTGTTTATCGAAGAAAGATGTAATTGTTGAATGGATCCCATTTAATGATATCCATGGTTAGCCCCCGAATGCTCTGGTACGGCCGAGAGTGGGGAGAGTCCGCTCTCCCTCTCGAAATGCTCTCATATGGCCACGCGTACATAACCCCTGCCAGGGAAGTCCTACTCACTGCCTTCACGTGGCGGGGGTGTTGTTTACGAAAATGAGAGGACGAAAAGCGAATGTCCGGCGCTTTAACCGGACCCCAAACCAATGGTGCACATGGGCTCCAGTATCCTGAAGGAACAAATGGCGTATGAACCAATCGTTGGTCACCGGCTACCATGGGACTGCATCTCCTCACGATGCTCCACTGCCTTGTGGGTCAGACATTCAGGTCGAAGGCTCGGGGTGTGGCCATCTAAGAAAACCACCTGCTTCGGTTTGGGCACCCGGTCAGTATCACAGCCCTCACACAAATCAATTGAGATTCGTGTGGCGCATATGTATTTGGTGCCTCTTTGTACCAATACCTATGTGTTAAAATAAATATCCATGGTTAAGTTGGATTGAAGATAATTCAAAATACCAGTTTGTCTTTAAATCCATATATATTTCCGAATATGGATCATTTTCAGATTTTATTTAAAATAAATTACGGACGTGCACTAAAAATACCTTACCTAACTGACAGTCACTGTGGCTCTTGTTTGAAATGATTTTAAGTAGTGAAAACTAAATGATTTGATTATGATATAACTCGGCTAGTCAAATATCAAAAATTTACTCTTATTCTATATGTATCTTTGGTTTCTATATTTCCATAGGTTTTAGCAATATCAGTCAGCCAATTTATTAAGATTGGTGATATTTCAAGCATTACTTTTTGATGTCGCGTAATTGTTTACTATCCATCTTGCTCTAGATGGCTTTAAATAAATATATGCACCATCGAAATATTTACAAACAGAAAAAGCCCAATTTCAAAGAATTGGCTGCAAAGTTCGATTTTTTCGATGCAGTGGTTATAAAAGATGAATGTGGCCGGGTTGTCCTTGATTTTAGAATACCATCTCACTTGTCTGCTTTGTCCAAAGCGTTGTTGATGAATGACTTTGGTTTAAACGTAGACTTTCCAGGCGATCGTTTGATACCAACAGTTCCGTTGCGTTTGAACTATATCTTATGGTTAGAGGACCTACTGAAGAGTAAGTAATCGATTGTTTGTTAATTATCTAGACATTAGATCTTCAAAGGTTTTCCGAACCTGTAAGCATCTTGGATATCGGCGTCGGTGCATCTTGTATTTATCCTTTGTTAGGCTCGAAGAAAAATTCATGGCATTTTTTTGGTACCGAAAGTGATATCAGAAACTTTCGTTTGGCCAAAGAAAATGTTGAGAAAAACGATCTAAACAAAAGTATCAAATGTAAGTTGGATATCACTTGGTTAGGTGCGTTACCATTAGCCTCTTGTTGCATAGCCTCATGAAGTAGAAAATTTGATTGGGCCATTAAAAATTAGAAGTTCATACAACGAAGTCAGACAATATGAACACGAACATTTCGCCGTTCAGTTATCAACCACATTATTTGTAGAGATAGGTCATAAAGTGTTAGTGGGAGTTTGATGGATGGTGCAATAAATATTTGGTTTTTTAGTGACTAGTTTTTGAAAGTTCTCCAAGTGTGAATAACCATATGGTAAACCAGATCCTCAAGGAGTTTTAACATTTTTTCAATAAACTGAATAATTCATTACTTTTGTCAAAATATTAGCCTTTAGTGCAATATCAAGGTTGACCAATATAGGTTTTTCCGACCTCACATATCAACGAATAATGTACTCTGTAAAGCATCTCATTATTGCTGTTATATCTGGTGACTACGTAGGTCTGTTATATATCTGTTTTCGTTTATAGTTATCAAACATTAGTTAGATGAGATAAGCATTCACGTTGTGTTCGTTAGTGGTGTGGAGTAAATTACCTCTAATTTTTGCAGTTTTTTTAGTTTTCCTTAAAACAATTTACATTTTGATGTAGTTTTTTTTTATGTTTTAATGTTAGTTTTCATCTAAACCACTCCGATTTCCTTCTAGTATTTCATATAACTGAGAATACCTCATCGTTGGATGTTGTTTTTGGTGACAAACAAAATACGAATTATTTGGATGCTGTAATGGCGAATCCTCCATTTTTCTGTGACACATCAGATGCAGTTGGATCTACCACCTGTCGATCTCTTAAAAGGCCACCACCTAAAACTATATCATCTGCTGCTAGGCATGAAAGTCAAACAGTCGGTGGTGAAGTGTACTTTTGTATGCGTTTAATCCGTGATAGTATTCGTTATTCAACTCGAGTGGGGTATGTATACTTTCAGTGTGAAAATAATCTTATTTGTCATGTAATTAGATGTAGTGAAATTTATATATGATTTTGTCTTGCCATGAACTTGTATTTATACTAGTTACTAAGGAAATCAAAGTATTCCATTATTTGAGTAGCATTGTATGGACGTGTTTCAATTAAAATACGGTTCATCTGATTAACTATTGTTTTGGGATTGATAATATGTTTGTCATCTATCTTTCGTGTATCTGCAGAATCTTATTAAGCAGCGTGTTGTTCTAAAATTATGTATTAACCGTACAACTTCTAATCTACTGCTCACAAAACCTTCACGAAGTACATTAGTCTGATGTGTGGATATTTTCTTCCATATGTTGTTGACCCATGATAAACAGGATCTTCATAAGACCTGTACATTTGTAAAAAACATTAAATATTTTTGACCTTTTTAACCATCCATCCTTCAGTCAAAGCTGTTTTGATTTGGTCTTTTATACGAAAACACTAGAAAATCATTAGCGTTCAAATAAGTTAAACCTTGCGAATAAAAAATATATGATTACTGTTGCAACTCTTTATTGCTTTCAAAGTAGATATCCAAACTGGAAATATGTTAATCTATTCTCATCTCTGGTATCGGCTTTCCGTAGTGGTTGTAAATTAATTAATACAACAAGGTATTCATGAGTTGTAACTTGTATGTTAAATAATTAAGTGTGAGTCTAGTGGAAGTTACTACCCAGTGCTATAAATTATGTCGAGTTTTGATCAGTTATTAAATGGCATCATCGATCAGTCTGTATTCAGATATCTGCACTACATCGCTGAGTTACATTGCATTATGTTTTGCGAAAGGAAGTGTCATGCTGTTTTAAAGGAATTTAATTATTTACTGGATTCAGCGAAAATTTTCTTTCTGATGTAATCATTTACATTCGTATATATATAGCCTAAGTAAATGATTTCTTCGAAAAGAAAATTTTCTTCACTGTATTCGTTTGTTCTTATTCAATGACACAATGGGTCACTTTAAATACTGGATTCACACGTTTTACTTCATCTCTTTATCCACTGATCTCACCCTTTTCTTTCACTCATAGACTTCTGCTCTGAATTTTTTATATTCGTTCATTTGAATTCTAGTGTGTTCACTGTTATGTTGGGTAAAAAGTCAAGTGTTTCTTCAGTTCGCCGAATATTACACAAGTTTAAGATAACTCAAATATCTGTATATGAAATGTGTCAAGGTCGTATAATGAGATGGGGTGTTGCGTGGACATTTCTTCCTAATTTCCAGTTTCCTGTAAGTCTTCATTTATTTTTTTGCAAATCGATAATTATCTCGTCTTGTTGCTTTTGATAAATAATTTCCCTTCTGTAAAACAGCTATCAGATGAGTTAGACTATTTGTTAAACTGTTCATTAAATCCTACTTTGATAATACGTTCGTATTCTTACTATAATTAGGCTGTTTACATTCCGACCTAATGTAATTAACATTTAATTGAATAGTTTTAGCTTGACTTGTGCCTCCGAATGCCCTGGTACGGCCGAGAGTAGAGAGAGTCAGCTCTCCCTCACAAAACGCTCTCACATGGCCACGTGCATACAACCACTGTCAGGTAAGTCCTGCTCACTGCCTTCCCGCAGCATTACTGTTGTTTACAAAATTGAGAGGAATAAAAGCGAATGTCCGGTGCTTCAAATGGGTTAATGGATATGGAGGATCCACCTAAGGGAGTTGGAAACCCTTGGTTCCAAACCAATGGTGTACATGGGCTCCAGGATCCTGAGTGAATAAATGACTACCATGGGACTGCATCTCCTTACGTTGCTCCAATGCCTTATGGATTAGACCTTTGGGTCGAAGGCTCTGGGTGTGGCAATGTTTTACTGTGTGTTAACTTTAACCTCCGATTAATGTTTCTCGTAATCCAACCACTTAAATGCCACTCGAATAAACCCATACTTCCCGTGTCGAAGTTTATTCACTTTGATCCTTGTACACTAACCACTATCACTACAAAAATTAATCGGTTGTCATTTTCTTGAAGATAAATTGTGATTGTTAGACAGTTAGACCTTTAACAATCACTGTAAAATATTTTGATTTTTAAAATAAATTTAATAATTTTGCTTTAAGGAATCTGATTTCCGCCGACTTCGTAAATTAGAACGTCCTCCATTAACACTGCAACTGCCGGATTCAGTATCTTGTCTTCCTGAAAATACAGTTGATGCTCTTTTGGATTGGTTGAGACATGAATTTAAACAATTAGGTGTAAGTTTCAAGAGATTATTTAATAATTTGATACGATTACTTTTGTTACTCCTCCTGAGAAAGCATAGGTCACCCACCAGGATTCCCCATCCAACTCTGCTCTCGGTATATCCTGTCCACCTCCAACGTCTTTTCCTAATTTCCTCTTCAGCTGAAAGCTGGTTTGTTCTCTCTCACAGTAGACCGTTGCTGATGGTATCCGACCAACGGACATTCAGTATCTTACGTAGGCATGTGTTTATAAATACTTGTACTTTTTAGATGATGGTTGTAGTAGTTCTCCTAGCTTCAGCTCCGTACAGTAGAACCGTCTTGACGCTCGTATTGAAAATTCTGACTTTGATATTGGTTGATAGTTGTTTTGAGTTTCATATATTCTTCCACTATAAGAATACTGCCCTAACTTCGCCAATCCTTGCCTTCACATCCGCATCAGATCCTCCATGTTCATCGATGATACTGTCCAGATGCGTTAAAGTTTCTACTCTTCCAGAGCTTCATTAGGTGTGACTGGATTGATGCTCTCTGTGTTGTATTTGAAGATCTTGGTTTTTCTCTTGTGTATGTTGAGGCCTGCTGCCACACTGACTATCTTCACCTACGCTTGTTGTTGTGAATGGAGTAGATCTAGGTCATCTGCGAAGTCCGAATCTTGTAGTTGTATGCAAGCTGTCTATTGTACCCCATGTTTATCCTGAGATATGAAGATCTTCATAATCCAGTCAACCACCAAAAGAGAAAGCAAGGGTAATCAGCTTTGTCTGACACCGGTTTTCACTTAAGATGCATCTGTCAGCTGTCCTCCATGCAGGACTTTTCAATGTAGCCCGTCATATGAGTTCCGTATGATATTGACGATTTTTTCAGGTACACCATATTGCCGAATAAGTTTGCGTAAGGTCCTCCTCCTATCCATACTGTCAAACAATTTCTAATAGTTTAGGAGGCTGATGTATAATGACGCGTTCCATTGAATTGATTGCTCAACAATGATGATAGAAAGTGAAGTAATTGAACGCATCGACCGCTTCATATGTCTTGGGAATCTCATATGTACTGATAGTCTGGTGTCTGACGAAGTGTCGACACGGATTCAAAAAACTATCGGCTTTTGCGACATACCCGTCTTCCAACCAAAGTGCGAGTTTACTGCGCAGCAGTTCGCTTCATTCTACTTTTTGGGTGTGAATCATGGGCATTAAGAAATAGGATGTATTCTTAGTTTAATGGTATTCAGTCATTGGTATCTTCGAAGTATTCCTCATGTATTTTGGGACCACGGAGTAAACAGTGCCTGTGTTGGTGATAGGTTACTAGATCAGAGTGGCGACTCGATTGATGCGGTAGTTATTGAGTTTTTATCACCTGAGGTGGTCAGGACATATTATTAATGCCCAATTATCGACGGGCGATGTTGTATGGTGTAGTAGTACTCTGGAAAAAAAGCTGAGCAGCGAAATTAAAGCATGCTATCGGTGCATAAAGTCATTATGGATTGGACTGAGCTATGTCAATAGGTGTAGACTACGTGGTTGGGGTCCGCGTGATTATCGTAGCCAGTGGCTAGAGACTTTAAATGACATGGTTCAAAATCGTTCGTAAAGATGCAGGTGTATTCATTCATTTCTTGTTCTTCTTCTAAGCTTTTGAATTCCTCATAATTTTTTTACTTCGTCAATTTATATTTTCTCGAATCGTATGTTCGATGCCCTATTACTACTGATGTTGCTACTACCTCTATTATTTTGGGATTCGCCCCGAAGATTTTAACTTGCTCTGCTAATGGGTTGTAGAAACTCGAACCGATGTATGTAAGTACGAAGTCCTATGCTGCGTTTGACTGATGGATGTGTTCTTCACTAATGGTCATTAATTATTCAAAAGCCAGGTACACAGTAGTTGATTGAACTTTCGATTTGAATTGGATTACATCGTAACAGACTCAGTTATCCCAATGGTCATCATTCTTCTGTTGTGTCTAGTTCTAATCAAATCCTATCATCCGAGACATCGTATGCGTTTATTAAACTTAGTGGCACAACGTGTTATAGTGCTGTTAGACGTTTGTAAGAGATTACCTGAAACTTTCATACTTTTTAGTGTTGATCAACACAATTAACCTATGGTCTCTCTTAGTTACTCTTCTATATTATTTCAGCGCATTTGTTAATAAACACTGACAATCGTTCACCTTGATGAACTATTTGTAAATCCCTATATTGTCTTATTTTCCTTTGGCTTTTTAGATGAAAGTATTAGATCAAAAAAATCGTGCTGAACTAGGTGGTCTGCATCTAAATATTACAGCAACAGTAAATACGTGGACCCATACTAGGCGCAAACGGCGAGAAGTTCAACGTCTTCTAATGTCTCAACAATCGGATACGATAAACAATGAGAATCCAACTGATAATGATTATGTATCCAATGAAAAAGATCCCATGGAATGCGGTTTTAACACAAATACGGTCACTTCTAAAAATCCTTCAAAACGTATACATGATAGTAACCCAGATGAAGTGAATAATTCATCGGAATCAATCACACAAACAACAACAGGGACAAAACTAAATGGTTCTGTGGTGGAATTAGTAAATACACCAAAACGAACGCGAGCAACACTTTATGATAAAATCTGTGAAGAAGGTGAAGACGCTTGGTTTGATGGAGATGAATGTGAGAATGCTTCAGTTAACAAAATTAATACGTGTTCAAATAATGAATTACCATCTACTGCTATCGACACTTGCTCACATGTGATTCAAGCCAATGTATTTGTTGAGTATTTAAACACAGATTCATTTAATAAAGACATACATGTAAAATCATTATTTCCACATGGAATCAACAACAGTGACGAAGTAATGCATAATGATAGCATTGAATGTGGTCAGACAGTTGTGAAAGTTAAAAGTGATATAGGCGCTAGTGATGATGAATATGATGACGACGTGATTCTTGCTGAAGAGAAACATGGACCATTGGTGGTAAAGATCGCTTGGATAAGTGGGACATGTCGAGAGGCAGCTAATCAAATTTTATTTTACTTAAAAAATCGTTTGAAGTGATGTTCTACTCTCTATTCCATTTTTTTCATCATACCTGGCTAGAAGAAAATAAAGTATTTTTGTAAATAAGCAGTTGCATTTCTTTTTTATACATGTCTCTAGCAAAATAGTGTTATAATATGCTATTGTCATTATTTTTGTACATTAAATACACCGAGCTTTAAGAAAATAAGTAATGATTTTTCGACATTTTTATCGTTCTGAGGTGAAATTATGCGTATGTTACAGTAGTAATCAACAATTCTATTTATCTAACATTATGGATGACTTGACCGTAAAAAAACGCCCCACCAAGTCGACACTGTTAATGGCGAACACTTTGTATATCATGTCAGTCACCATGTATATTGTCATAATAGCAAAGTAGATATACAGAAGACAATCGATCTTTTCATTCAGGTTGCTAGGTAGAACTGAAATCTTTTTGGACACGCTGTGATGGGAAAGTCGTTTGAGTGTTGATTGAACTTATATTTAGTTGTCTACGAGTTGCATTTTGTTGGATCCTGGGGAAATAATTAAGAAGCATTCTCCTACATCTTATTCTGATTGGGTTTTTAACGTAGTAGCAAATAAAATGATTGATAGAGGGCATTCAATCGATTACTGATGGTAAGTTGGCCAAGATTTGTAGTTGAAGAGAATAGTTTTCTTGAAATTGTGCATTTAAATCGCAACGCTATAGTTTGGAATGACTAGTGGGTATACTAAAATAATTTATTGTTTAATGACTGATAAGAGACACTGATAAAAGTAATGTCCGCGATGGTTATGCTGGACAAGTTTTGAATATAAAACATCTAATTATCCTCGAGAAAAGATTGATGCGATTCTGGTTGGAAGGCCTATTTAAGACTTATCCGGATATGTGTTCATAGTTAAGTGTAAATGGTGTAAAATCGGCCCTAAATGGTAAAGCATTTTACCGTAATTCCATGTATGATCTGCAAAGGTAATCGTAGCGGGAAAATCAGTTATTTGGGTGCAATTTTAGATCATGGGTCGCCTAATTGCTAGACTTCACACAAAATAAACAAATTTAATTTTTGCCCAAAATACCACTCATATCTATAACTATCACTTAATATTTTCCCGACTAACCAGATTTTTCTATAAACAAACAAGTGTGGGTAATTCTATTTTCTAAATAAGATGCATTAAATGTTTTCCTTACCGTAATCAACCTTGTTTCTTGGAAGACAACGAAATGAGTTACTACCACAAATATTATAAAGTTCATGGGTATTGTAATTTCTATTTAGATTTCTTTGGGTGAGTTAGACGGGTTTTTTGATGAATTTAGTGTAGCTTGTTTATATTATCTAACTTCAGCAGTTGAGTCTTTCAAAAGATCGCTTAATGTTTGGACCAATCAGGTTTCATACATTAGCTTTCACGTAAGAACCCTGGTCTACCTAGTTCAGTTTGAGTATCTGGATAGCAGTATCGAAAGCCTTCATACAATATGACACAATGTTGAGTGCTTAAACATCTACTTCACCTATCTTGGAAGTCTGATCAGCCCTAATGGGTTGGTGTCTGACGAAATCTCAGCACGGATTCGAAAAGCTCGTTTGGCCTTTACCAACTTACGTCATCTATGGCGAAGGCTAGATATCCGTCTATCAATTAAGGGACGAGTATACTGCGCGGCAGTTCGTTCCGTCCTTCTATACGGCTGCGAAACATGGCCTTTAAGAGTGGAAGATATTCGTAAGTTACTAGTATTTGACCACAGGTGCCTTAGAAATATTGCGGGTATCTGCTGGGATCACCGGGTAAGTAATAGTGAGGTTAGACGCAGGGTATTAGGGAATGATGGTAAATCAGTTGATGAGGTTATGAATCTTCATCGACTGAGATGGTTGGGCCACGTGTTGCATATGCCTGAACACCGATTACCACGACGCGCAATGCTGACTAGTGCAGGGGATAATTGGAAGAAAGTTAGGGGCGGCCAAACCAAAACGTGGCATCAGTGCTTGAAGTCACTAACTTCTGGGCTGAGCCATGTTGGAAGATTCAGACTACCTGGTTGGGGTCCGCGTGACTATCGTAACCAATGGTTGGAGACTCTTGGTGACATGGCTCAGAATCGATCACAATGGCGTCGGTGTATACACTCTCTGTCTTCCTTAAATTAAGACATTAAAATCGCTTCATATCTGTCTAGGAACTAATTCTTTCTTCCTTTACTATCTCCTTATACACAATCTTTCTTCTATATATTACCACCACTGAATTAACTACTCCTATGAATCCGGTGTTCATCTTGTTGTGCTAATGCGGTATGGCAACTTGGACCGATGCATATATGTGCCTGGTCCTACGTTGCAGCTGACTGACTGACTCGATGTTAGGTAGTCCGCATGGAACTCCGGACCTACGTTTTGTGATAGTTGCAACTTGTCAGCAGGGCTACCTGTAATATCGAGCACATGGATGATCCCTCGGTATTTTGAGCCCATGTCACCCAACTTCATAACTTGGGACGTTACCAGTGGGTTGCTGGGGCTGCAGTGTCGAGTTATCAATACTGGTGATCACAGTACAACTTGATCGATAGAACCCAATGAAGACACATAATCTGCCACTACTCAATGACCAGTCAATTGTAAACCTTTAATTGGTAAATGAGTTACATTCATATTTAAGCGACTAACTCTCCAGTACATCCCATACTTGTTCGATGGGAAAAAAACTAAAGTATTCTATTGATCAACGTTTATGTACAAGTATAACGTGAAGCTGAATTAGCAGTTGCTTTATTCAAAAGAATTGATCAGATTCATGGGTAATGATCTTTGTAAGAAGTAGAAACATTTATTCAGAACATTTTATTTTTGCGGAAAGAACGTCTTGTGTGGATAAAGGAAAAAATATTTTCAAAAAATATATATTCAGATCTTTGTTTCCTGTATTTTACAAATGTTATCCGGTACAGAAACTTTCATGTCAGTTTATGTGATTACTCTGTATTAAAAAAATATGGTTCTATATAGATCGATCGGTTGCTTATTTAGAAGAGAAAAGAACTACAAAGATAGGTGAAATGAACAATTTTTGTTAGACATAAAGTGAACAAAAACTACTACTTACACAAGACAAAAGATGTAACAAAGAGTAAGAGAGGGATACATGGCATGTGCGAGTGCATTTGTTAGTGTACACAGGTAGAAAATAGATAATCATTCATTTGAAAGGATTAGAATGGACGAGCTTGGGTGAAATTTTAAACAAATCAAATGATTTCTGGATAGTCTAAAAGTGATTGGTGCTTATCACAATATGTTTGTGTAGATATATGCAAGTGAATTTGTTTGTGTAGACCTATGTGTTACTGCAGATAGAAGAACAAGAATTAATTTCATTTAAAGAAAATGAAGGGTATTCTTTTAAATCACCTTTTAATCTTATCGGTCGCGTTTTACTCACGGTAGCCTTAAAAATATTCCAGCTAATCTACTCCAGTCAATATCATCTGCGACTTGAATTTGTGTTGTTGTCTCTACGAAATGTAACAATAATTGATCGATCAATTGATCTAATCTTGATTTAGCTGAAAATTTATTTTCGTAAGGAAAAATTGAATGACAAAAATCACTAGGTAATACTTTTTAAGCAAATATGTCATAAGTTTAAAATGAAAAGAGCATCAATTTATTTGTTAGTCATTGGACAGGATCTATAAAGATAGCAATAAATGCGCGAAACAAAATGAAATGATAATATTACAGTGAGAGGATAACCATTTGGAAGTTAGTAAGATAGTAAATTTTATGGTGACATATTTTGAATACCAAGAGTGATTCAGTTCATTCAGAAAGTGCATCCTACTATTGATAAGGTAACCTAAAACGCAACTACACCCAGTTTGTTACTGGCTTACTTTATGAGCCATGTTTATTAGTATATGCAGTTACTGAGTTACTTGATTTATAAGATCGCAATGGCAGCGAATTCCGACTCGATACAGTCATACTTAAAATGCAATATCATAAATCAATCACTTCTTTTGCTTTTCTACCTACTATATACTTCAACAGATAGTACTCTGTATGAGAACCACTAAAATTGACATTTCAAGATGATATAACTTATTGAAGCACCATCTCCACTAAGCTGAACCTTACGGTGAATCCTTTTGCTAACTTACACTAAAAATAAATTTTTGCATTCATATGCCCTTGACATCGACAGTTAGTTTATGTATGGTTTACATAATATCCAAGACACGTTTATTACTATGAACCAACTAACTTAACTAGTAATCAGTTTGACACAAAGAATCCTTCGCATAAGGAAATAATTAGTGAATATAATTTGTTTTGACATGCTCTAACATATTGCAACAGTGACTACTGTCATTTAAAAATATTTGAACTTTCTTTGACCTTCAGTTAAAATTTCTGAAGGAGGACAGTTTACATACTTCAGAGGTCAGCTTATTCAATCGTATCCTGGTGATAACTCTATACAACAGTATACAGTAATATTTTGTCTACATATTCAACATATTCAAATAATAAAAACAAAAAAATAACAAGAGAATCTTACTGAATATGTCGACTTCATGGTGTGTGAGCAGCTTTCGAGTCAATTTCTTGGCAACCGATTTGAATGCATCCTACAGTATACAGATATAAAAATGCATCAAATAGATCCCTAATATTGTATTGAATTCATGTCTGAAAATAATCTCTGTCGAAGTAGTGACAAATATCATTTTACTATTATCAACTTATACATTGAACGATATCGTAATTGTAAAAACACGAAACGTTGCTTGTTGTTTCCCTCTTTTCCTATCAGTTGTTGAGGTCCACATTGCTTTTAATAAGGTGATTATCATACATTTCCTAACGTTATATAAATACTATTTAACCAGAAGTGCTCATTCATGTTTTTATTTCCTTGAGACAGTAAATGTATTCTTAGAGAAGTTAGTTCTCACATTCTGTATCTATATACCGGAAAAGTAGTTTTATTAGGTACAAATTCGCTTTGGGATTCGGAGTTACGACTGTATCATCCTCAGAATTGACTATTATGCATATATTACTTTCTTTTTTCCGAAATTTATATTTCATTTTCGTATCTACCAAACAAATATATGGGTGCATTTAGATTCCAGGGTATACATAAGTTACACATATAATGAAAATTAAGGCATACTTAAAACTTT